GTGCCCTGCCACCTCTCTCTGTGCTGTCTGATTCTGCCCTCCGCCCAGACTCAGCTTAGGTTGTATGTTTACCCCATTTGTTTCCTTGCCTGCACACTTGCTTACTCTGTGTGTGTGTGTGTGTGTGTGTGTGTGTGTGTGTGTGTGTGTGTGTGTGTATGTGTGTAGGTGTGAATGCACACATACACATATTTCGGAACCCTCTGAGGGTCACTTACATACAGGGTGACCCTCCGCCCTACAAGCTGAGTGCATGTCCTAAGGCTGGGCTTGATCCCGTGCCCTGGCAGCACTGTGCAGTCTCCTGCAGGCAATTAGGAGACTGCACAGTGCTGCCAGGGCACGGGGTCAAGCCCAGCCACACACAGGATTCTCAAAGGGAGAATCAGACAGCGTGGCATGTCCTTTCTTTAATGTTTTTTACTCTGAATCATTCCCACAGCCTTTCTTTATCTCCTTGTGAATTCCCTTTCCATGTAACTGTCGTTTTAGCTTTTTCTCTTTCTTTCAGTTGACAGTCTCAAGGCTTGTGGTGTGCCACAGACTAGAGCGTTTTCCCCCATTTCCCCAGGAAAGTGAGTTTCCTAATACCTCACTGAACGAGGCTTTTCTCTTAACATGCCAGTAACTGGCACACTTACTCACTTTGTGAGTTGGCATGGGTAACACTGTAGCTGCTACCCATTTCATTTACTTAATGAATCTACTACCCATGTTCTTTGGAGCACTTTTCCCTCTAGGCCAGGTTCTAGTCCAGGACCAGTTAGTGCCTTTAGTTGTACTGTTTCTTTTCTTTTCTTTTTTCTTTTGGTTGGAGTCTCACTCTGCCACCCCGGCTGAAGTGCAGTGGCATGCTCACAGCCATCGCAGCCTCGACCTGCTGGGCTCAGGCGATCCCTCCGCCTCAGCCTTCCAGGTAGCTGGAACCATGCCACTACACTCAGCTAATTTATTTTTATTTTTATTGTAGAGACGAGGTGTTGCTGTGTTGTCCAGGCCAGTCTCAAACTCCTGGGCTCAGGCACTCCTCTCGTCTCAGCCTCCCCAAGTGCTGGGGTGACAGGTGTGAGCCACCATGCCTGGCATGTCCTGTTTCTCTAATGTTTTTTATTCTGAATCATTCTCACAGCCTTTCTTTGTCTTCTGTGGCAGTATTTTTAAAAGAATACTGCCCCCCTCTTTTTCTGGAGACATTCTCATTTTGTGGTTTTCTGGCTTTACTTTCTCAGCTGTGCACCACATAGGTGATGTTGGGTCCAAATGGCCCTCCTTCGTGGGTGGATTCTGATCACCTGGTCCAGGCATTGCTTGACTTCCCCGCTGTATCAGGACTGTGTTTTCTCCTTTGCAACCAATTAACAGTTGCTGGAGAGACACTGTAAGACCATGAAAACATCCTGCTCTTCACCAAAATTTCCCCCAGATTTAGCACTCATTGGTGACTCTTGCCCAGTTCAGTCTGTACACTGGTGGTTGCAAAATGATTTTCCACTCAGCACCCCTCCACATCTGTCCGTGCCCTTTGGCATTCTACTGCGAGTTAGAAAAGTCCTTTCTGTTTGTTCATCTGCCTGCCTACCTATCGTGGGTGGTGTAGACTTGTGAATTCCCATTTCCCCCCTAAGCTTTATGATTCATGCTCTGCTTAATCATTTTGGCGCACAGACTGTGCAGATTTTGGCACATGGGATCTTCCTGCTGTCTGCCATATCTCTGTGGTGTGTCACCATCATGTTTTGCTGTTGCTTTGTTTTGCTGACCAGTTGCGAACTCTCTGATATAGTCAGATGCCCTGGGCTCCTCCTGCACTTTGCCTGCACTTGCCCCGGATTCTGCCCTTTCTCCGGGGAGCCCTGGTTCCTTTCATGAGGGCATGGTGTTAGAGAGCAAGATCTGGGTACCTGCATGCTCCTTGCTCCTGGGGCTGCTGCTTGGCTAAGGGTGTGTTTATGGTTAGTCTACAGATTCCCAAAGAAACCTGAGCCTTCCCTGCTCTGCATGCCCTGATCTTTCCAAACTCACTGTTTGAGCTTCCTTGTACCTTGTAACAAGGATGTCTGTGAGCAAGCTTCTCCTTGTGGAATTCCCTTCCCATGTAACTGTCGTTTTAACTTTTTCTCTTTCTTTCAGTTGACAGTCTCAATTATCTTGGTGAGGCTGCCCTTTCTAAAGGAAGTAAGAAATACTAAGTATGAAATGAAGAGCCTCCGAGAGAGACTCTGTGGTGTCATGTTTTACTGTTGCTCTGGGTGGATACCTTAATGGAGTGGCATGTTCTTGGTCAGAAGCCTCGAGTGCAGTTTTTCTTTCAGTGTCTCCACACCTGCCCCTAACAGATGCTCGCTGCTTTCCATCTTCAGGGCAAGTCTTTCACTCCTCAGGTGTTGCTGGTCAGCCTGGCCTACCCCCAGCCAGCCATAGACAGCACCTCCTCCAGTTGCTCCTGGGGATGCTGTCGACATCCCCATCCTATCCTGCTTTCCTGTGCAAGCTACTTCTCCTGCTAAGAAGATGACCAGGAGAGCCACAGTGGCCCAGAGCCCTCAGATCCTCTAGACTGCAGGACGTGTCACTGGGCTTGTCACAGTCTCTTTTCTGGCTCGTGCCTCAGCATCACAGGCCACCCCAGATAAACATGCAGTCCATGTAGAATAGACAGGCGCCCTGGCCCCCACCCTTGACCACCACCCCTGTGGAGACTGTCGGCACTGTCACCAGCCATAAGTAACCATACTCTGATGTGTCCTGAGAACAGTGTCAGCTAAGAGGACCCCTGTTTTCTAACAATGCTGAATTCTCTGGATGTGTTTGTGCTTTCAAAATATCCGCTGGGGGTGGCAGGAAGAGCCATAAAAGGGGTAGGACAATGGATAGAAATGGTTTTTACCTGCTGACCAGTAAAAATACAATAGAAGCCCCACGTGTAACTAAGTTTTCCAGTAGGGACATTAAAAAATGTAAGAAAAGACAGATAGTGTTAATTTAAGTATTACGTTTTATTTAACACAGTATATCAAACATGTTGTTATTTCAACACATAATCAATATAAACACATTACTGAGATGTTTTGTATCTTGTTTGTGGAGTTAAAGTCTGGTGCCTGTTTTATGCATGTGGCCCATCTCAACCGAGACTGACCACACTTTAGGAGCTTAGCAGCCTGGTGGCATGGCATGAAGGCACAGGCCAAGGAGACTGGTGGGCCAGTCATGTGTTATGGCAGATGGGGTGAGCTGGTGACCACAGTGCAGGCTTCAGGCCAGTCCTGCCGCTTGACCTTCCTGGCCCTTCCCCAGGACAGGGCTGCTCCCTCCCCAGGAAAACGTGCCCCTCACAGGGGCACATGTGACAAGGAAAACCACAGAGGGCCCACAGCCCTCAGATCTTATGTGCTAAGTATGTGGGTACCGGGCTTGTCATTCTCTGGGAAACATACATGTTGCACAGGGGTTCTGAGTGATGTGCATGTGACCCTCCATGAATCTGTACTTCTTCCAAGGTCTACAGAGCCTGCCCCTTCTGTAGGCCTGTGACTATCGAGGAGAGACCCTTGCAGTCCTTTTTCCAAGGGGTCGCTTGATGCCCCAGGCACTAGCTTCCAGCATCAGTTTCAGGAAGATCAGCTTTATTCAACAAGGGCTGCCTAGAGAGGCTGTAGAGAAACTCAGATAGGATTTGAAAGTCAGAGAGGGAGATCCCTGGAGGGTGTACCATGTGGCTAGAACCTCCTCCTCCACATGGCCTCTCTAGAGGCCTCCGCTGGGCTCTGAGCATCTTCATGGCATGACAGCTACAGCCAGAGTGAGGGTCCCAGGAGAAGCCCAGTGGGCAGAAACTGTGTCCTTGCGAGTCACATGACCTCACTTCTGCAGTCCCCTAGGTGGGAGCAGTCAGCCTTGCCCAAGTTCCAGGGTAGGGACACAGGTCCATAGTCATGTGTGAACTTGGCAACATAAAGACTGTGGGCTGTGTTGCCATGTACCCAAAAGTTTGCAGGACTCGCAGCTGTCTGGGAAAGTGGGCTGGAAACTGCTCCTCCTAGCCCTTAAAAAGCAAGTGGCTTGGCTCAGGCCTATAATCCCAGCACTTTGGGAGGCCGAGGTGAAAGGATTGCCCGAGCCCACGGGTTCGAGACCAGCTTGGGCAACTTGGCGAGACGTCATCTGTACAATAAATCAAAAAAAATTAGCTGGGTGTGGTGGCACATGCCTGTGGTTCCAGCTACTTAGAAGACTGAGGCCGAAGGATCACCGGTGCCCAGCAGGTTGAGACTGTGGTGGCTGTGAGCATGCCACTGCACTCTAGCCTGGGTGAGAGAGTGAGACTACAACTCAAGAAAAAAAAAAGCAAGTGACTGAGTACACTGTTGAAAAGTATTTTCATTAAAATGTGAACGAAATTACGCTAGCCGCTCTCAAGTTCTTGTTCCCTTGATGATGTTCTGCCTCCCACTGCCTACATGGCCTCCACCCCTGTGGGGTTGACCAGCCACCGTCCCCTCTGACACACTGGCCTCTGCCTTGTGGCTTCTGATCTGATGCATGTAGTGTCCTCTTGTGTCCTCTTTGGTATTTAGTAACTGCAGAACTCTTTGCAGATTCACAGTGAGGAAGGAATCCCAGCACAGTTTGGACATGACCCAGGGATGGCTACCTATCACCATTGCACCACGGTGGTTTTAGTCAAGGCACCTGGAAATTTGTGGTTGATGAGTCTCTGTATTTTCTGTTTCTTCTTAATATCCACTCCATTGTTTTCTTTACACCCCTTGTATGTATGTGGATAGGAAGTGATACAAGGCATGAGAAAGGCAGGAAAGGACCCTGTTTTTGCTTGGTGCACTATGTAGTAGCATCCTGGAACTCCACTGAAGTGTTGGTGCTGGAGGCCCGGCACTGATGCCCTCTGGTCTTACAGCATGTCTAGCCTGTGGGAGGCTCCCTAAGACGTGACCAAGGACTGCAGCAGCTGAAAGAAGTGTCCATCTTTGTCTCCGCAGGACCTGCAGGACCACAATGACGAGCTAGAGGTTGCGCTGGAGGGCCTGCGGGCACGGCTGCCCGAGAATGGACATAACCTCGCAGGTAGGAGCCCAGCCCTGGGCAGGGCTGCCAAAGGTCTGGTGTCAACACTACCCTCAGAACCAGAGAGGGAGGGGGTGGCAGGCTATCCCACTTGGGTGGAAATGGTGAAGGTGGTGATGACCTGCATGGCCTCATGGGAGGCGATGGTCCCTGCCAGGGATGATTCTGAGGAGGATCTGTCAGATGACACAGGGCAACTTGCTGCAGGGACCATTACCAGAGGGAGGAGGGAGAGGAGGCTGAGGATAGGCACGGATAGTCGCCAACCTCAAGGCCAGGCTCAGGCTGTTCTTATATATGAGAGTTTTTTTGATAGGAGGGGAGCAAAGTTGTGTCAGAAGTGCTGAGGGCCTCGCAGCACTCACAGGCCTGTGTGATTGAGGCTGGCAGGGTGTGCTATTTGCTGCTCTGGGAGCTGTCACCCTTGGAGTCTACTCAAGGTAGGGGGTGGGCACCAAGGGAAGGGCCCGTGTGGCTGTGGGCCCCATACTCAGCCAGGTGCGTTGGGCAAGCTTCAGGCACCAAGAGGCCTGGCGCCTATGCTGGCGTGTTCTTCTTTGGAGACCAGATGGGACCAGGTATCACAACCACACTGGAGGTTTACCGTGGTCCTTTTGCAGGCTGGACTGGGCTGGCTGCCACCCTTCCTGATGGTCACACAGCTTCTGCTCACTGCACAACCCACACGATGCTTGTGGGTCCCCAGCAGCTCTACCTGCTCCCCTCGATCACATGCCATGACAACCCCAGCCCCTTGGAGGATTTTTTTGCTCCAATGAGTAATCCTGAGGACTCTGTAGAACCCATTTTGCCCTACAGCTATTTACTTAATAGAAAAAAATTGGTACCCAAGAGAGCTAATGTGGGAACCTCTAAGGACCTCGTGGGGACTTCTGTGTAGGTGAGTCTGACATCCTGGGACCCCCTAGCTCCTGCAGGCTCCTTTGTTGGAGTCAGAGGCCCCCGAGACCCGCAGCCCTGATGGCCGTCAGACTTCCTGGGAAACTTCAGAAAGAAATAAGGTATTGTCCCAGCCACACTCCAGGCAGCAAGGCCGGACATCGTCAGGGTGCAGCTGGCACATGGGTCGTTTTCAGATTCCCACACATGTGACGTGCAGCTATGTGCATGGCCTGGCCAGCGGGGAAGGGTGGCTGTCACCTCCCTCTGTCCCCAGAGGAACCCAAGCTGCACAGAGTGTATGGCCCTTTCAGAAGCCACCAGCCCAGAGTAGGTCACCTGGTCCAGCAGAGCTTGGGCCATGGAAGGCAGCTTCAAGATTAGTGTCATGGCTGATAAAACCAACTCCTTGGCCAGGTGCAGTGGCCTAAGCCTGTAATCCCAGCACTTTGAGAGGCCGAGACGAGAGGATTGCCTGAGTCCAGGAGTTCGAGACTAGTCTGGGCAACCTGGTGAGACCTCATCTCTGCAGTAAATCAAAAAATTAGTTAGGCGTGGTGGTACATACCTGTAGTACCAGCTACTTGGAAGGCTGAGGCAGAAGGATTGCCTAAACCCAGCAAGTTGAGGCTGTGATGGCTGTGAGCATGCCACTGCACTGCAACTTGGGCAACAGAGTGATGCTCCAACCCCCCCCCACACACACAAAGAAACTGGCTCCTGCAACCAAGGCTCTTTTTTACGTTGGTCCTCCTCCATCTACCAACAGAGGCTTGATCAGCCCTTTGAAAGGAGTCTGTGTGCCACCAGAAGGGCAGTGAGGCTGCAGTGCTGGGCAGAGGTGCAGTGCATGCCGAGCCGTGACTCGTTCTGCTGAAGCCACACTGCTGGATGCCATCTTGCCTGGCCCATGTGGCCCAGGGCAGCAGCTGTGAACCCCGGGCAGCGAGGGGTTTTCTCTCCTGAGATGTAATTACAAGTTCTCTTGGCCCCGTGGCCCTGAGACGCTATTTTCATGGCAAATTGGGAAATGAAAGGAGAAGGTGACACTTAAAGGAAGCATCTTTCCCCCTTTTCTGGCCCTTGGGCCGAGCTGTGGGACCCCTGACACACATGTTGGGGTGGCCTGTACCTGGGATGTGTGTGTAGGTCAGGTTCGGTCATAACTGGACTGCGCCTGCACCTTCTGAACCACCCATACTTCCCTGCCTGCCAGCATTGCAGCTTTCATGCCCTAGGTATAGGATGCTGGACTTGCCTACCGGTGCCCGGTGTCACTCGTGTGATGTCATAGTAAATAATGTAGGGCCACTGAGAAAAGGGGAGAACACTAAAATACCCAGTGTGGATGAGCAAGTGCCCTGCATGCGACTGTGACCATCTGCAGGTCGTCTGGGGCTTTGTGCTGCTCAATCTCCACTGGGCTGAGGTCATTGTCTTGCCTGCCCAGCTCCTGTGCTCCTGGCACCATCAGGGAGCAGGCTTTAGGTGTGGTGAAGGTGCCGGGGCACAGTGTCTTCTGGGGAAGGACAGAGTCTTGGGGAATCTTGAGGGGAGCTGCCTCATGGAATCTGTATTCTGGCAGAGAATTGGACTGCTGATTTCTCAGGGATATTGACCCCAGAGTAACCCTCAAGGCCAGCACTGCTGCCTTTCGCTGCTGCCATGCACGTGTCACGTTAGGGGCTTAGAAAGGGCATCCTTGGTGTGACAGCAGCAGAAATGTCCTCTTGTTGGCAGGCATCTCATCTGCGGGTGACTGTGCTCCCGTGAGTGTAGACACGGAGATCATGATGGAGCAGGTTAAGGAACACTGTCACAACCTCAGCATCCAACTGGAGACCAAGGTGAGGGGCATGTGGATGTGGTGGGCCGCAGGCTGCAGCGGCCATGTGCTGGGCAACTAGACAGGGCATCTGCCTGGGACCTCTGCCTTGCAGTGAGCTGCTCAGGGAAGAGAGCTTGTAGGAGACGTAAAGAACACTGACATCTGCCCTATACCCTCTTTGGAAGGAGGCGGGATGTAGAAATAACTGGTGACGGGGGAAGTGGTTCATGCTGCAGGGTGTCACAAGGGGACACCTGAGGACAGCGTGGTGGACGACCTTCCTGCTCACCTGGGCTAGGAATCACAGTTTCCGACTTGTCCCAAGCATGAGTGACCTAGCATGTACCCTCTGGGAATTCAGTGGCCTTGGGGCCAGGCCTATCCTGACTGAGGCTATCTTCCAAATGAACTTGTCTCTCTGTGTTGCTAGAGTGTGATGACTTTGAAGAGATCATGTTCTTCACTTATCATGTGTCAGCTCTTCAGTCTGAGTAGCCCCAAGGGCAACCACCTCTATCCTGCAGCTATGCCCCGAGGCTTCCTGAAAGATGAACTGGAAGTACCTGACATGACCTTTGCTGCCCATGGCAGGTAGTGTTCCTTCCACCGAGGCCTCCAGGACACTCAGAGCCACCCCATGGGTCCTGCACAGGTCCCCAGTTCTCTCAGGGAATGTCACACCCTCTGATTCCCTTACACCACCTGACCAGACCCTAGCCCACCTGGTCCCCCTGCTGGTCCTGCCTTACATGGGATAAAGTGACACATGGCCACCTTGGGACCATCCGTCATGATACTGTGCCCTCTGTGGACCCAGGCGCATTGGTAGGTCTGGGCTGCTGGCTCTCTGAACATGGTGTCTGACAGCTCGGTGTTTATGTGTTGTATTGTCAGCCAGGCCATTTTCAGGGCCTCCTGGTTAACACAATGCACGTTGTCTTCTCAGGTAAATCACTATGAGAGGGAAATTGAGGTGATAAAAAGGAACTTTGAGAAGGAGAGGAAGGAGATGGAGCAGGCCCATGAGCGCGAGGTCCATGCACTGGAGGGCCAGAGAGCCGACCTGGAGAAGCTGCACGAGAAGTCGCGGGAGGTCATCCAGGGTCTGCAGGAACAACTGCGGGACACGGCCCCCCAGCCCGGGCCCTGCTGTGCACGGGCTCTGTCGGGCCTGGCCCTGCAACTGGAGGAGGAGCTGTCCTTGCGGCGGGCCAGGTGCGGTGGCCACTCGCATCAGGGCTGGGGTTTGCTGCCAAGAATCAAAGTTTGAAATGAGGTTGAGGTAACCGCTGAGGATGTAGACCTTCCTCAGTGGGCGGCTCCCCCTGGGCGATGACTGAGGGCCAAGAGAGCAGTTGTGCTGTGAGAATTTTTACCCTAAACAGAATATACATCCTGAGTAGAGCTCGAGCCATGGAGCCAAGTGCTGCAGGGAGACATGACCCGGGACTGTTTCCCTTCTGTCTCCGCCACACCTGGTGTGAGGGGCATCGTGGTCTGTGTTACCTAACATCACATCCCCTTCTCCAGGATGGGTGACAGAGCACGAGCGAGAGGGAGGAAAGCCCTAATACAATGGGAACGGTGACTGATCTGGGTTAATGAGATTCTTGAAAACGCTAAAATATGCACACAAGATAAAAGGTTTATTTGGAAAACCTGTTGGTATTCTGTGTTTCCCAGTGTCACAGTCACATGACAAGTGACTGGTGCCTGTTCTTTGTCATGTGGGTCAGAGTCAGGAGAGTAAGTACTATCCAGATATGCTGCCAATCAGCCGGAAACCCCTGCCTGGCTCAGGAGGATGGCCACCCTCACCATTCTGGTCAGGCCACCCTCATTGCAGGCCAGGACCAGGGCCTCCCCTAGTCAGGGCTGAGTAGAAACCGGGCAAGGAGCCCACTGCACCCACTCAGCTGCTACGTGGAAGGCCACCATGCTGGGGTGACTGGGTCAGACGTTGGAGTCTAGTAGATGTGGCCCCATCACCATGCAAACAACAGAAGGTTGCACCCCTGCCCTGGCAGAGATGGGCACCCCCTTCCTGGTGGGAGGCAGTGGGGAATGGCCTGAGCACATGGGATGTGGCAAGGGAGGATTAGCACTCCTTCCTCCTTCCTTCTTTCCCCAGGCCATGGGGGCTCAAGGAGCCCAATGCTTTTGTTCTGGAAGATACATGCCTCCTCCTGGGGATGGAACCACATCCAGCCCACTGTGAGGGGCAGAGGGTGACAGAGCAGGTCTTTCTAGAGTGCAGCTGCCTCTGTGTGTCCCCGCCTTTTTTCTTAGTTCTTGCCGGTTTCCCAAGAGCAACGCTGCGCATGGAGGCCTGGGTGGGTCCTGGGCCACCCACGGGCCCTCTTCCTGCTGAGTCTGAAAGGCCAGAGGGTGGACACATGTGCCCGTGCTGGCCTTGGCCCTGGGGGCAGGGGCAGCCCAGCAGGTCCCATGCTGTTGGGGAGCACAGGAGGCTGTCCATGTCAGGGGCCTCCGTGCCACTGTGTTCTTTGTGGGCCAGGGGTTCAGCAAGGCTTGGGCTATTTGCAAGCCTGGGCGGAGTGCCTGGTGGCCACCTGGCTGCGTCAGGCATGGGCGACAGCCAGGCCCCAGTGAGAGGGGATTGGCTGTGCATAGGGGAAGGCGATGGGCAGATGGCTAGGGCCTGGGCAGGGCAGCCTTGAAACTGCCTGTGTGTTGTTAGGAGGTCAGGCTGTGGTGAGGACAGGGCTATGGAAGGGTGGTGGGGTCAGAGGGAGGGGGTGGCTGTTTTACTGTCCAGGCAAGAAGTGACGGCTGAGGGGCCAGAGGTGCAGAAAGGTGTTTGGAGGTGATGGTGGGTCACAGTGGGTGACACAACACAGGCAGGGACATTGCCAGTGGGTTGAGGTACCCTCAGTGAATGCACAGGAAGTGGCTCTTGCCATGGAGGTACAGGGATAGGGTTGACTCAGTTATGTTTGAGGAGTGAGTTTGGGTGGGAGAGACGAGGACACCTCCAAAAGGAGGAACGCTGAGGGGGCTGGGGAATTCAGAGAAGACTGCTGCAAGGAGGGAGGTCACCTGTGTGACCAGAGCCACTGAGGCCATTTCTCAGGAGACCAGCATCCTGCAGGAGGAGCCCTCAGCCCCAGTCTGGGCCTCAACCCCGCCTCCCGCTGGGAGGGGAGGCCCGTGTCCAGCCCTGTCTGGTGGGCTCTTGGCCACAATTCCCGGCATGTCAGACTGCAGCCGCTTCTCGATAAAAACTTGGGATGGCCTCCCCGAGCCCACCATAGTTGTAGAATGAACCCCAGCATGGGCAAAGGTGAGTCTGCAGGACTCTGGAGGCCACAAGCAGGATTTTGACCTTTATTGTGAGAGAAAGTAAAGTCTAGAGGATGGTCTGGTCAGGTGTGGCTTGTGAAGAACTCTGGGCCAGGAGCTGGGAGAACAGTAGGAACGTTCTGAACACCCATGGCCTGAGCACGTCTATGTCACTCTGCTGTATCTGTCTGCCTCAAAACACCAGTGTACCCTGGATCATTTGACGTCATTACAGATGTGATACTTTGCTGCTAAATACTTATTTTGAACAGAGGCACTCTCTTGCATACCCACAATATCATGATCACACATGGGATGTTTAACATTAGCACAGTGCTAGGATTTTGGGTTTTGTGTGTGTGTTTTAGAGACAAGGTCTTGCTCTGTTGCCCAGGCTGGTGTGCAGTGGTATGATCATAGCTCACTGCAGCTTTCAACTCCTGAGCTTAAGTGATCCTCCTGTCTCAGCCTCCCGAGTAGATGGGACTACAGGTGTATATCACCATGCCTAGCTAAGTTTTTAGGTTTTTTGTAGAAATGGCATCTCACTCTGTTGCCCAGGCTAATGCTGTTTTTAATATGTGTTCCACATTCAGGGTTCCCGTTTGCGATGTTCTGTATGGGTTGTTCCCCCACTCCTGAGTCCAGTCAAGGTTTGTGCTGTGCATTTAGGTATCACATCTTTTTCATGCCCTTTCAGCTAAAAGAGTGTGTCAATATTTTTTTTTTCTTCCTGACACACTCTTGTCAGTGGATGTTGACTTTTTTCTTGTCACGGTAAAAGATATCTAGCATGAAATTGATCATTTTAACCATTGTAAGTGTATAAAATGGCATTAAACGTTCATAGTGTTGTGCAGCCATCATTCCCTTCCAAACCTTTTCCTCATCCCAAACAGGAGCTCTGCCCATTAAGCAATACCTTTAGCTAGCTAGCATTCTGTTGAAGATTTTGGCATCTGTCGTTTTCTCATGTGTCTTTGTGTAGCTTTGTTATCAGGGTAATGCTGACCTCAGAATGAGTTCAGAAGTGTTCCTCTGCTTCAATTTTTGGAAGAATTTGAGAAGAGGTGGTGGTAACATTTTTTCAGGTGTTTGGTAGAATTCACCAGTGAAGCCATCTCTTCCTGGGTTTGTTTTGTTTTGTTTTTCTGTTGGATTTTCTGTTTCTTCATGAGTCTGTTTTGGGAGATTATTTCTAGGAATTTAGACATTGACATTTTTGAAGAATCAAGACATTTTGCAGAATGGCCCTTAGTTTACATGCCTGAGTTTTCTCATTCAGATGAAACTTGTTAGGTTCAGATGAGACTTGTTAAGTATGATGACTACGTGGTGATATTTCCTTCTCAGCTGACTACTTTAGGAAGCTCGTTGTTTTATCCTATGCCATCTTTATAGGGCCACTTTGTCTTTCCTTCTGACCTGTATCCTTTAGAAGATCCTATAGTGAAACTTTATTTGGAGTAAATTTCCACAGTTTTTATCTGAAAAATGTCTTGAAATGCCTGAATTTTTGAAGGGTAGTATTCCTAGGAACAGAAATCTAGATGACTAGTTAAAGGGGTTGTCTCACAGCCTTTTGAACATACTCTTTCCGTATCAGAGATTCCATGGCTGGCACTGGGTTCACTCTCAGTCTAATTGTTGTTCCTGCATATGTGTTTTCCTTTGCTGCTGTAACACGTTTCCAGGAACCCAATGGTTTAAAACAACACAAACTTGTTATAGTTTGGAGGTTGGAAGAGTGAAATGAGTATCCTTGAGCCGAAATCAAGGTGTTGGCAGGACTGCCTCACGTTCTGGAGAATCCCCTCTCTTGCCTTCTCCAGCTTCCTTGGTTCATGGCCCCTCCCATCTGTGACCCATCAGTGACTGACTAAGCATTTCTCACATCACATCACTCTGAGACAGACTCTTCAGCCTTTGCCTTCTACTTTTAATGACCCTTTTGATTATAATGGGCCACCCTGGATAATGCAGGGTAATCTACCTAAGTTCAGATGTGTAGCAGCCTTATAACCCTCTGCTAGGAAAGGCAGCATATTCATACATAGCTTCTGAGGATTAGAGTGTGGACATCTTCTAGAGACCGTTATCGTGCCTGCCACAGTGGATGATCTGACTTTTGTCCTCTGGTTACTTTCAAGAACTTCTCTATCTTGGGTGGGGTTTATTTTTGTTTTTGTTTTTGTTTTGGTGTGTATTTCTTTCTTTTTAACTTTTTATTAAAACATTATATACAGGGGGATCCCAGAAACCCAGAATTTACTTATAAAAATTTGTGTATTTATTCTTAAATGTTTAAACTCAAGTCACCTTCAAAGTCCTCTCTGATGCAGTACAGCTACTCAGACACTTTTCCACTGCCCAAAAGTTTTTAAATTCATCACTTATTATGCCTTTCAGTGCTTCTGCCATTTTTTTTTCACCTCTTCCACATTGGCAAAATATTTCTCTTTGAAGGCTTTTTTCATCCATGGAAACAAAAAAAAGTCACTAGGGATGAGATTGGGTGAATAGGGTGGGTGGGGTATGGGGGTCATGCTATTCTTGATCAAAAGCTGCTGAACATTTAGTGCAGTGTGGGCAGGTGTGTTGTCATGGTAGAAGAACCAGTCACCTGTTTGCCAAAAAAACATTCACTGAAGCCGAACACAGCTTCTCACAACACTAACTGGTACACTGATGCTGACGGGTTCCTAGAACACTAACCTAGCAAAAGCAGCCTGTAGTATAAGGGGCCTGTCCTCCAAAAAGATAATTTGGGGGGTTTTGGGGTCCCCCTCATACATAAGAAACATGCATGTATATGGACAGTTAAAATTTTTAACAAATTGGACACATCTGTGTTACCAGCACCCAGAATAAGGAATAGAACTCACCAAAACCCCCCACGGTAACCACTTTCCTGACCCCTAGCGACATGGGTGAATCTTGCTTGCTTTTGTACTTTATAGAAAGGAGCCATGCATTGTATATTCTTGTGTCTGACCTTGGCACAATGTGCTTGTGAGATTCATCTGTGTTTTTGTGTGTCGTGATAGTTCATGCATTTGCATTTCTGTGTGTGTTTTGTTGTGTGAACAGACCACAATTAGTTTATTTCTTCTCCTGTTGTTGGGCATTTGGGTAATTTCTGTTTTTTGACTTTCACACAGTACTGCCACGAAACTCTTGTATGTGTCCTCTGCAGCATTTATGCCGGGACGTGCCTAGGAGTGGATTTGTTGGGTTGTGGGACACAGGTGTAGTTTCTTTTCATTTATTCGACTTAGAAGACATGATCCTTGTTGAATGTATGGATTGATGTCTTAGGAAGCCCTCTTAGCTCTTTTTTTGTTTTGTTTTGTCTTTGAGTCAGAGTCTCTGTCACCCAGGCTTGAGTGTGGTGACATGATCACAGCCACCACAGCCTTGACCTCCTGGGTTCAGGTGATCCTTCTGCCTCAGCCTTCCAAGTAGCTGTAATTACAGGCATGGGCTACCACCCCTGGCTTGTTTTTTGATTTATTGTAGAGACAGGATCTCACCAAGTTGCTCAGGCTGGTCTTGAACCCTGAGCTCAGGCAATCCTCTCACCTTGGCCTCTCAAAGTGCTGAGATTATAGGCTTGAGCCACTGTGCCCAGCCTGACCTCTCTGCTCTTATTATTAAAGTGTTGTCTCTCTTCTCACTGTTTTCTCCAGTTAGATGTTTGATGTTAGATCTTTTCACTTTTCCCTCCATGTCTCCATTTCTTTTTTATGTTTTCCATCTTCTCTCTGTACCACACTTTGAGTATTTTTTAAATATCTGTGTTCCAGGTCAGTGTTTCTTCAGCTCTGGGTAATATGTTGTTTAATCCATTCAGTTGGTTTTTATTTTGACATTGACTTTTTTGTTTATTTTTTAAAGTTCTACTTGGTCCTGTCTTCTCATTGTTGATCGCTTGTTCATGTTCAATTTCTGTCTTTTATTTGTGTAAACATTTCAACTTGTTTATTTTTACTTTGATAATTCCTATACCTGAGAGTTATAGGGATTTAGTCTGGTTTCCAGGCTTCCACTTTCTCTTTTGTGGCTGCTTTTTTTCCATGTGTGTGGTAAGGATCTCTGATTGTGAGCTCATGTTTGAGTGAGACTAATCCCTGGGAAGTTGGGAGCCTGGTAGGGGATACTTTTGCTTTGCCGAGAAGCAGGGGACTGCTGCCGCAGGACCCCTTGAGCCTCCTTCCAGGACTCTGGCTTATGTAAGCATGGGTGGTACAAGCTTTGCACCTGCTGAGGGTAGTGCTGATGCAGGTGCTGGCCATGAGGTCACACCAGCTCTGCCGTGCATGTTTTGGCTGCAGCTCTAGGTTTTTGTTTTGCTTGGAGGCCACGGGGTTTTCTTGCTTTCTCTGTGAGGCAGCCACACACTGTGCCATCAGCTCTGTGTAGGATCTAGTTGTCTGGCGACTGTGTGGGGTGGCAGTGGGACAGGGCAGTTTTTAGATGTTCAGCCTTGTATCAGTTTGCCTTCTGTTCTGGAGCCAGAGTGATAGTTGCAAAACATACTTCTCATTGTTTTCCCTACTTGAAACCCATTGCTGCTCTTAATTCTAGTGACTTTTATTTTTCCCTTTGTTTCCTCATCAGCTAAAATGAAGTTGTATGGGGAAGACACTTATATTTAATATTATAAGCATAATACATAGAGTGAACATAATGACATCATGTGACTTGGAGTATTTTTTTTTATTTTTTTTTTTGAGTTGGAGTCTCACTCTGTCACCCGGCCACCGCAGCCTCGACCTGCTGGGCTCCGCGATCCTTCCGCCTCAGCCTTCCGAGTAGCCAGAATTACAGGCATGCGCTACCACGCCTAGCTGATTTTTTGATTTATTGTAAAGATGAGGTCTCGCTGCCCAGGCGGGTCTCGAACCCACGGGCTCAGACAATCCACTCACCTCAGCCTCCCAAAGGCGCGGGATTACAGTCTGAGCCACCGAGCCCGGCTGAGTATTTTTATTTTTATGAGTTGGAGTCTCTCTCTTGTCACCCAGGCTGCAGTGCAGTGTCACGCTCACGGCCACCACAGCTTCGACCCACTGGACTGAGGTGATCCTTCTGCCTCAGTCTTCCAGCCTCAGCCTTCCAAGTAGCTGGAAGAATATTTTTAGATTGAGAAAATGAGAAGTTAATACCATGTGGAGACCAACTGGGGGTGATGTCAGTTAAACTAACCTGTGTTAAGACAAAATTCCCTGAGTAGCAGGTATGGGTCTCAAGCATCTCATTAGTGATCATTTTAAAAGATGGAGGTCTTGAGTCACCCCTTCAGGTTCCTTCCCACTGTGAGAGCTTTTCTTTTTTTTTCAATAAATTCTACAAGGAAGGAAGGAAAAGAAGGAAGGAGTTCTCTTACTCTGTTGCCCAGGCTCATCTCCTGACCTCAAGCGATTCCCTCACCTTGACCTCCCAAAGTGCTGGGATTACAGGCACACTACTGCACCCAGCTTTCATTAGTGATCTTTATTGGTCAGTCGCTTGTCTGTCATAAATTGATGATTTTATCTAAGCAGAGACTCTCTTAGAGTTGTCAGAAAGCAAAGATGACTCCAGACAGACTTGGGCCATGTAGTGGCTGCTCCTGCCCGCCTTTTCCCACTTGGATTTGCCTAGCATCAGTGACTATCCATACATTGGGGTTGCCCTCTTGCTATGTTTCTCCTTCTAGGGTTGACCACAAAGTGTGAGGTGGGTGAAACTCTCACTATAGGGGAAAATATGGCCTATATATTTGGTCTCCTGATTCCTTGTGTCTCTTAGCTCCATGCTGGGGTTCACTAGCAGGGATGAACACTCTCTGCAGTACCTGAGAGTTCATGCCCAGCACATGACATTGGTACCTGGTATACGCATATCTGACTGGAGGTCATTAGGTACAGGGCCAGGTCTACCATAAACACAGGGTGAATGAAGCCAAGGTGCTGACCAGTTTAGAAGTGCCATGCCACCTCTGGGGAAGGACAAGTGAAGATTGGACAATTTCAGGACCCCAACTGTGGAACCAGGCTCTGTGACTGCATGAGGCAGCCAGCTCTTTGGGCGTTTACCCATATTTTGTCAACTTTTCATGCAGAATAGAGTTTCATAGGCTTGCTGAAGAAAACACTGTGTTGAAAAATGATCTTGGAAAGACTCAGCAAGAACTTGAAGCTGCAGAAAGCGCAAATGACACACAGAGGTAAGCAAGCATGATATGTCTCAATGGTCCCCACTCCCCATTACCTTGATGACACCTTGTGCTCTCTGTGGAATACCCTTAGAGGTTTCCACGTAGAAAGTGGTATATGCTCTCAGAAAACCCTGGATGCATGGGGGAGCTCTGCCCTCTTTACATATTGGTGACATCTTGATTCCTAAGTCCTTGGTGTTGGAAGGTTGGGGCAGAGCTTGTGCAGGCATAGCATGGTTGGTACCACAAGAATAACTCCAACACAGGGCCCACCTCTCTCAGAGTTAGTACCCAGGATTTCTTACCTGAAAGAAATGTTCCACGTCGCATGTATTAGTTGGGTGAGGCAGCCTATGTTCTTGTGGGGGTCACAGATAATTTTGGACTCTCCCGGGCAAGGAGAATTTGCTGTATCCTGATGGGGGTTCAGTTCTGCTTTTCACCAGAGTTCATTGCTGGCATATTCATGACAGTGAGTCAGAGGTAGGCAAGAGGATTGTCAGGGAGGGTCAGAGACCTGGGCACTGAGGCAGCAGTAGGCCTGGGGACGCCCCCCTCAGTGAGAGTCATGGGAAGGGCAAAAGTGCCTCACCAGTGAGAGGTGGGGGACAAGGGTGCCCTGTCAGAGTCAGGGTATGGCAAGAGCCTGAGTACTGAGGAAGGGGAGAGAGTTGTGCTGGGGAGAGTGATTTCTGCTGTCACTACTGTAGCCATATCCAAGGACAGTCTGTTTGACCTTTTTCTCCCCAACTGAATGTCCAGATGAGCTTAACTCTAACACACTGAGAATGATGACTCAAGTGTAAAATTAGAGCAGGTAACAATTGATTGCTGTTACGTTATAGCAATTTTGAAATCTAAAAGCTTGTTTTCCTTTAGAAACCATTTATCCCCCTGACTTTGCTGCCAGGACCCCTTTGACAACAGACCTCAGATGTAAGCCTTGTCTGATTTTTTTTTTATGCTCTTGGCTGTGAATAGCTGCATGTTTTGCAAGAAAAATCATGTCTGTTATTGAGGAATGTCACAGAGGATGTTTGTTCTTACAATACTAGCACCTCATGACGTGTCTACAAATCTGAGCAATTTCACACCCCTCAGTTCTCCATGGTTTGGGACCAGGATGGGATCACTGTCAACCCTAGCAGTGGTGGCAACAGTAGAGCAGGGACAGAGGGACTGAGAATGCAGGGAGAGGCGTGAGTGTCTGTGATGTGGCTACAAGCTCAGACCACTGCTGTTCCAGAGGGTGGTGAGCAGAAAAAAATAAACAGGCTGTTCAGAAGGGATATTAACTTTGCTTCTTTAACAGGAAGGAAATTGAGGTTTTAAAGAAAGACAAGGAAAAGGCCTGCTCTGACATGGAAGAACTCAACAAACAGGTGACGTATCAATGCTGGCACAGAGCTGATGTTGCCCTTTCTTTTTTCATTTTGAAATCATTTCAAACTTACAAAAAGAAAGTTAGAGAACTTTCTTCTAAAAGAGTTCAGAGTGAGTTGCTGATAAGCTCTCATGCTCCCATCACAATCAGGAACCTGATGAGGCTATGCAGACCCCACGCTGGGCGGGTTTGCTGCTGGTTCCAGTGGTGTTCAGAATTGAGTGTGGTGTGCGTTCCCCTTCAGTCCATCCTTAGTGGTCAGAAGTTTGACGTTTTCAAGATGACAGGTGGTTATTTTGTAGGAAGTCCCTCCATTTTGGTTTGTTTACGGTTTCCTTGTGATTTGAGGCAGATTTATTGTTTTTGCAGGAATAACTCAGAAATGATGCTGTGTCCTTCTCATTTCATTCTGTCAGGGGACATAATAATTTGTCCCATGACTGGTGATGTTCATTTCAGTTGCTTGGGTAAGGTGGTGTTGGCCAGGCTCCTCCATGTTCAAGTTACTTTTCTCTTTGTAATTAATGAGTATGTTATGGGGAGAGACTTTGAGATCTGTAAATATTCTCTTCATCAAACTCTTACCTTGTTAGCACCTTTTGGGTTTTGGTGGAGTCAGTTATTACTATGATGGTGGCCAACTGGTGACTAATCCCCTTGTTCTTTCCCATTTATCAGTTGGCATTCTCCTGTAAGGTAGAGCTTGCTTCTCTCCACTTAGTTGTTCATTTATACCATTATATTGCTTGCATAGGTTTATTTTATTCAGTGAATTATATTACCATCAGTTTTTATTTTGATGCTCAAATTGTTCCATATTTGTTCATTGGAGCCCCTCCAGGGTGACTTCTGTGTCTTGTGATCAGGCCTTGATTGTTCCTTTGAGCACTTCCTTATGTTCTGGTATCCCCAACATGTTAAGAGTCTAAGATCCGGGCACTGGACATGCTCATTGTTTCTAGAGTATGCTGCTGCAGGCACTCTTAGCGGATGGAGCTAGGGAGAGTGTGTGTGTGTGTGTGTGTGTGTGTGTTTATATATATACACATACACACATGTATATGGTTTCAAGTGTATTTATTTATGCATCTCTCTGTATTGAAAACCTTGAATTCAAGCCTATATCTGCTTTCCCACCCAGCATCACAAGGACTATTCTGGTTTTCTACTCTTTTTTTTTTCTTTGAATTGAAGTCTCACTCTGTTGCCCAGGCTGGAGTGCAGTGGTACACTCACGGCCACCCTAGTGTCGACCTGCTGGGCTCAGGCGATCCTTCTGCCTCAGCTGGAACTACAGATGCATGCTACAGCGCCCGGCTAATTTTTGATTTATTGTAGAGTCGAGGTCTCGCCAATTGCCTGGGCTGGTCTTAAACCCGCGAGCTCAGGCAATCCACTTGCCTTGGCCTCCCAGAGTGCTGGGATTACAGGCTGAGCCACTGAGCCCTGCCTCCATTTTCATATTTGTAACTCATTTCTCCAAAAGTGAGAAGCCTGGTTTTAATCCTCCTCAGTGTGTTTACTTACTGTTTGATCAGCGTCCCTTTACCCTTCTGACCCTGTGTAGGGATTGACCACCCCGCACATTGGTTTTCCCTTTACCCCAATTTGCAAATGCCTTCTGTCCTTGGTCCCACTTAATGGCTTTTGAGCTGGATTGTCAAGGAACAAGCATGCAAGCTGGGATTTGTCATTCTTTTTTAAAACACTTTTATTAATAATTGTAGACTCACATATTGGTTTTAAGAAATATAGAACCACTTCTGCTTAACATAGCACTGGAAGTCCTAGCCAGAGCAATCAGGCAAGGAAAAGAAATAAAAGGTATCCAAATAGGAAAAGAGGAAGGTAAATCATCTCTCTTCACAGATGATATGATTTCTATACCTAGAAAACTCTAAAGATTCCACTGAGAATTCCTAGTACTGACAAACGACTTCAGTAAAATCTTGAGATACAAATTCGATTTTCAAAAATCAGTTGCCCACCTGCATGCAGCCTACCTATGGAGTTAATCCTCACTTGTACCCCACATCTCTATAATAAAAATGTTTTTAATCGGCTACATTTCTATACACAACAACAAACAGGCTGAAAACCAAATCATAAAATGCAATCTCATTTACAATAGACTCCAAAATACCTTGGAATACATTTAATCAAAGGGATGAAAAAGATCTCTACAATGAGAATCAACAAGAATTCAAAGGTGACACAGACAAATGGAAAAATATTCCATGCTCATGGATTGGAAGAATCAATATTGTGAAAATGTCCATCCTGCCTAAAGCAATCTACAGATTCAATGCAGTCCCTATTAAACTACCAGCATCATTTTCCACAGATCTAGAAAAGACAAGGCTTAAATTCATATAGAAGCAAAAAAGAGCCCAAATAGCCAAAGCAATCCGAAGCAAAAAGAACAAAGCCAGAGGCATCACACTGCCAGACTTCAAACCTTACTACAAGGCTACAGTAGCCAAAACAGCATGGTGCTGGTACAAAAATAGACCCACAGGCCAATGGAATAGAATAGGGAACCCAGAAGTAAAACCTCTAACCTACATCCAACTCATCTTTGACAGGGTTGACAAAAAAACAAATATTGGTAAGAGGGCACCCTATTCAACAAATGGTGCTGGGAAAAATGGCTAATCAGAAGAATGAAGCTTGACCTCTTTCTCTCATCTTATACAGAAATTAACTCAAGATGGATTCATGACTTAAACTTACAACTCCACACTATTAGAATCCTAGAAGAAAACCAATGGCACTCTCACCTGGATGTTGGTCTAGGCAATGAATCCATGACCAGGTCCTCAAAAGGAAATGAAGCAAAAACTAAAAGTGACAAGTGGGACTTTACCAAGTTAAAAAAGCTTCTGCATAGCAAAAGAAATCATCAATAGAGTAAATAGACAACCTATAGAAAAGGAGAAAATGATTGCAAACTATGCATCCATAAAAGGACTAATATCCAGAATCTATAAGAAATGCAAGCGGCCAGGTGCGGTGGCTCAGCCTGTAATCCCAGCACTTTGGGAGGCTGAAGCTAGAGGACTGCCTGAGCCTGGGAGTTCGAGCCCAGCCTGGGCAACTTGGTGAGACCTCATCTCTACGATAAATCAAAAAATTAGCCAGGCATGGTAGTGCACGCTTGTAGTTCAAGCTACTTGGAAGGCTGAGGCGGAAGGATCGCCGGACCCAGCAGGTCGAGGTTGCGATGGCTGTGAGCATACCACTGCAGTCCAGCCTGGGCGATAGAGTGAGACTCTGACTCAAAAAAAAAAAAAAAAAAGAATAGAAACCCCTTTACACTTTGCTGCATTTCCCATACTGGTAACACTGCAGGACTATAGCATAATATCTGTATTAGTCTGCTCAGGCTGCTATAGCAACCCCACCATCAACTGGAGTCTTAAAACAATAGAAATTTATGGTTCTGGACACTAGAAACCCGAGATGGACGTGCCAGCAGGTTGGTTCTTCTGAAACCTCTCTCCTTGGCTTGTAGGTGCTAACTTCTCTCTGTGATGCCACCTGGCCTCTCTACTATGCATATCTGTGTCCTTATTTCCTCTTATAAGGATACTAGTCAAATTGGATTAGGGGCCATCAATATGACCTCATTTTACCTTAGTTATCTCTTTAAAGACCCTATCTCCCAATACTGTCACATTTTGAGGGCCTGGGGGTTAGGACTGCAACATGTGAATTTGGGGTGGGCTAGGATACTAATTCAACCCATAACAAATATCACAACCCAGATACTGACATTGATACAGTTTATGGATTGTGTTTGGATTTCTCTAGTTTTACTTGCGCATCATTTGTGTGTGTGTATTGGGTTCTGCATGGTTTTATCATCTCTGTAGGTTCGTGTATCTGCCACCACAGATACTGAGTATTCCCAACATTATAAGGATCCCTTGTGCTGCTTTTTGGTAATCACACCAACCTCTTTCTTACCCACCCAAACCTTTTTGATAACAGCACCAATTTTCTTCCTACCCCCCACCCAACACAACGATTAACCCCAGACAGCCATTCATCTGTCCTCCATGTCTAAAATTTTGTCTTTTGAAAATATTATAACTGGAATTAAGCTGAAGGTGATGTTTGGGATTGGCTTTTGTACATACTGTGATTGGGTAGAGTATCACCCAAATACCGTGTGTACCAATAGTTCCTTTTTACTACTGAGTGATAATTCATGGTACTGCAGTGCGTCTGAATGCTCACCTTTTGAAGGACATGCAGGCTGATTCCAGTTTTTGGCTGTGATAAATAAAACCACTGTGAACACTCCTGCACAGGTTTCTGTATGAACTTACATTTTCGTTTCATGGGGGTAAATGCTCCAGAATGCAGTTAACCGAGTTGTATGGCCGTTGTGTGGCTGGTTTTATGAGAAGCTCGCAAACTGTTTTCCAGAGCTGTAACATCTGACATGCCCACTACCCATGCACACGTGATCTGGCTTCTCTGCGTCCTTGCCACAGCTGGGTGTTCACTCTCCCTCTGTAGCTGTTCTGTGTGTACTGGGATGGGATAGAGGGGGCCGCCGTTGGGTAACTACCCTGCCCCATATTGGCTGGGCTCCGTGAAGTTGCTCCCCTTCAGGACAGAACAGAACGCTCCTGGTCTGCTTCATCAGAATCCACGCCTTAGCTCAGGCTGCCATGACAAAAACCACAGGCTGAGTGGCTTATGCCACAGAATTGATTTCTCTCAGTTCCGGAGGTGGCAGTCGCTTTCTCCCTCCTTTTGCCAGAAGCATGAGGGGTTATTTCTCTGATCTTTTTTTTTTTTGAGTCGGAGTTTCATTCTGTGGTCCAGGCTGGAGTGCAGTGACACACTTATGGCCACCACAGCCTTGACCTGCTGTGCTCAGACAATCCTGCCTCAACCTCCCGAGTAACTGGAATCACAGGCACGTACCACCATGCCCAGCTGATTTTTTTGATTTATTGTAGAGATGAGGTCTTGCCAAGTTGCCCAGGCTGGTCTTGATCCCAAACCCCTGGGCTCAGGCAATCCTCTTGCTTCCATTCCCCAAAGTGCTGGAATGCCAGGCATGTGCCACGCAGCCCGGCCTTTCTCTGATCTTAACTGCAAGAACCTGATGGGGCTTTGGGAGGTTGGAGGCCCCTCCCAGTTGAACTCCAGGACTTTCCAACCCTCAGGCTAGTCCAGCCCAGCCCCTGCCTTCATCATGACCACCACATTTTCCTACCTGCTTCCAGCTGCAGCCGCTCCTGGGACATGGGGGCTCTATCTTCTGCCATCTCTCCAGTTTTCAGGGAGTGCCCTGTGACTTCCATTCTGATGAGTCTAAGAAGGGTAGTTGATATTCAGTGTATTCAGCTTTTCTCTTTCTGGGACAATGGGTGTGATAACCTCCAGTGTCAGAACTGAGACTGCAAGCAGTGTGTGTCTGATTGGAGTTTCTGCTTGGAAGTCATTGTCAGTGTCTAGAAACACGACTAGTTGTGCTGACCTTGCATCCTGCACGATCAGCACTCAACCTTGCTGAGTGCCCTCACTTGTTCTAGGAGTGATCTCATTGCCTTCTGTGTCTCAAACCCCTGCTCTGCCCCCAAGGTAAATCCCTACAGCCCCTCCTCTTTTCACATGGCTGATAAAAGTGTTTCTTTTCTGCTGTGGAAACTGCTACTCAAGCATAGGTTGCTGGTTTCCATGACGAGTGTGTGGTGGTTTGGTACGGCTGCCTTGCAAGGAGGGAGCTTCATGGGCTGACTTGAGATAAGAACCCTTAAGGCTCTGCACCTGCTTCTTGTGGAAATGACCCATCTAGGGCTTTCCTGGGTCCAGAGTACCTGTCTCCTTTCCCTTTTCAGCTTGTCTCTGTGGCATCTGTGTCAGAGAGTTATCAGTATCCATTTGTTTTCTTCCCCCACATTTTTATTATGAAAGACTTTAAATACAGAAAAGTTGAATATATAGTGATCACCCACATACTACAACCCTAATTCAACTGTTATCAACATTGCCATATGTGCTTCAGATCTGTTTATACCTGTTGGTATTTCTCATGAGTGTGTGTGTTTCAAACCATTTGAAAGTAAGTGACAGATATCCTGATATTCCACTCCTAATTATTTCAGCAGGCGTCTCCTAAAAATAAGCGTATCTTCTACCTAACCATGGCAGTGCTATTGCACTTAAGACACTTAATGGTAATTGCCAAATATTCAAGATTCAGTTCATATTCATATTCTCCAATTATTCAAAAATGTCTCATATAGTAAATTGTTGGAGCCAGTTGATGTTTACACATTATATGTAACTGTCAGTTCTGTTGTGTTGTATTTGACTATCAAATCACTGTGCTGGCATAAACCAACCACCCCACTATGCTCACAGAGCATGTGTATCAGGGACACACACAGGCACAGCTCGGATGTCCTGTCCCTGGTCTGAAAAGTTGGGCCTCAACTGTGAAGACTGGACAGCTGGGGAGGGACCTGAGCCAGGGCTGGAGGCACATGTGTGACTGCTGTTCTGAATGTGGGCCTCTCCCCATGGGACGGGCTCTTGGGAGGAGTGCTGTGAGAGGGCATGTCAGGGAGTGAGTATTCCTAGGGGACCAGATGGAGGTATCTGGCTTCTGATCCCTCAGGGATGTCTTTGGACAACACTCCTGACTGCAGTGTCCCTTCAGTCTTCTGATCTAGAAAACCTGTTTTTCCTCATGACATTGGCTTTCGGAAGAGAACTGGGTGGTTGTCTCATGAACCATCTCACATCTGGATCTGCCCAGCTGTTTCCTGAGAGTGTCAGTCAGTCTGGACCTGTGTCACGGGTTTGTCTTGTAAACTGGAAATTAGTAAACATGTATTTGACACAGATAGCCATTTGTTGTAACACTTGCTTGGGAGATAGCTACTAACGTCTCATGTCCGTTCTGCAGCGAAAGCCAGACGACTGCAAGTTAGAGATAAAGGTGACCGACAGGAACGTTGCGAGAGGCAGCTGGCCCCTGCACCTCTGATGCATGACGGTCAGGGCAAAAATCTCCTCTGGTGGCCTAGAGGTGTGTTTCCCAGGGAGCAGAGCAGAGCTCCTGTCCTCAGCCAAATGGCTTTTGGAGCCAGATCACCGTAGGGCACCTCTGCCCACTTGGTGCCAGCAGCCTCCACTGTGACAACCAAAGACTGAGGGACATTGCTAAATGTCCCCAGGGGAGCAAAGTCGAGAACGACTGGGGTGACCTGAGTAGAATTAAACACATTTTTTTTATCTGTATTTTAACCTTTTTTTTTTGCTTTAGAATCAGAAATACAAGAATGAATTGTCCCAGCTCAAGCACAGGGTCCTTCAGTTGGCAGAGGCGGCCTCTACACCCCAGGCCCGGGAAGAGGAGCATCACGTCTCGATTCAGCAGCTGACGCGGAGCCTGGAGGCGGCCAGGCAGCAAGGGGTGCAGCAGGTGAGCAACCTGGGCAGCTCCATGGGGTTCTGGGGGAGCTGGGAGTGGCATAGCAGGGAAGCCACAGAGGAGAGACCAGAATAAGTCCTGAGGCACGTGAAGGGAGACACCACCCAGCAGTGAACACCTCCAAATCAAGACCTGGAGGAAGGGTGGGCCTGAGCTGTGGGTGCAGATTCAAGCAGCAGATGGCTGTGCATGCTAATCCCAGTGGAGGACATCGGTGCAGCTTTCCCATGGGACAGTCTGGCAAAACATACACCAAGAGCCTCCAGAACGTTGGGTGCTTTGACTCTGTCATGCTGCCTGTGGGACCTTCCCCTGAGAGTGCAGGGGAGGATTCGGCTGGGGTATTTGATGGTTGTGTCATGTACAGTCAAAACAGCCCAGAACTGGAATCCACTTGAGTCATCATTCGGTCGTGGGGCCCCCACAGAAACCATGTTTTCAAATTGCATCAATGTCACGGAAACACTCAAGCTACACAAGGAAGAAAGCCCTGCTCGGGCACTGCCCGTGCTGCCTGGTCCCACCTTGTCACTAGAAACGTGTGCGTGTGGTAGGCGAAGGAGGCGTAACAGAATGGCGGGACTGGGTCTTGGCTGCTGGGTCAGAGGGGGGTTGCATTTCATGATTTTTTTTAATTTTCTGCAGTTTTCTGAAGTTTGTGTATTAATCACATATCAGACTGCCAAGCTATTTCTTATATTTGTGAAATTGATTTTTTTTTTTGAAAAACAGCGAGATCAGATCCAAAAACTTGAAGCTGAACTTGAATGCATGAACCAGGAGTGTCAGAGCCTGCGACTGTCACAGTCAGAACTGATGAAGACTGTCAGGGAGAGTCGAGATCAGGTGGGTGTGAGCTGGGGCTAGAGGCGCTGGGGCCAGTCCCAGCCATGAGCAGCATCATCAAAATGCTGACAGCATTGCCGGGCCTTGTCCAGCCTATGGGGTCTGTGGGGTTGGCCTGAGGTCACACGTACCTCAGGCACTTACTAAAGTCGCTCTTATCCCAGGTTTGGCTTGACATGGTACAGGCACGTGAAGGGCCACGACTCAGTTTACTCACTAGGGAAGGGGGACAATAGCCATGCCTCTGGATGAGCCCTCTCCAGCAAGGAGGAGCTGCAGGATAGCGGTGGTGGTGTCTGAAGGGGGTGGCGTCAGCACCAAGGCAGGGGTTGCAGCCTGGGGGGTAGTATGGGGCAGACATATGGGCACTCGGCACTCTGGGGCCTGCACATGCCTCTGGGCGTCATGTGTGCTGCTTCTGTGGGTGAAAAGGCTTGGGTGATGCAAACCCAGGGATGCTGGGCTTCTGTGGAGCGCAGCCTGGGACAGACAGGTATGAGCAGGCCCAGCCCACCAGAGCCTCATAAGTGGGGAATGCAGGGTCCTCCCAGGGGAGGAGAGTAGGTGTGTGGTGGCCAAGGTGCCCCAACAGCCCATGTGGGTGTACTTGGAAGGCTGGGGCTACGGGAGAAAGGAGGAGCTGTGAGAGAGGTCCCCTCTGCACAGTGTAAAAGGGTCTCTAGCTGTGCCCGTTTCCCCAGCCTTGCCTCTGGCCCCTGACCTCATTAGCGTGAGAGGCGCTTCCCAGACATTTTGAGACTGCAGAGGACTCAGCCTGGGTCTGAGACCCCCAGGTCCTTCTGATGGGTTCTTGTGCCTCCTGTGGGCTCTTGGCCTCGCTGCTGCTGGCAGCAGTTTCCCAGAGGCACCTGCATACCCAGGGATTTCCTCTATTTTTAAGTCTGTAAGAAACCTTGAAAAATGGCTCGGGTGGTTTGAGTCCTCTGAGGCTGAGGAGGAAGGTCCAGCTGGAAACGCCAGCACTTGCTTAGCATCTGCGGAGGGGCGGTTCTGTCCAGGCTGGCAGAAGGCGCCTGCACCCCCTGGGACCTGCACCTGATGCCACTTGTCACAGTCTAGAGAGCCCCCTACATAGTCCATCCTGCAGCTGTGTGGGCTGGCACCCCATTCTCTGGGAACTTAGAGAAAGACCCCTGGAGGCACACTGCAGCAGGTCTACATAAGGGAAGCTGGAGGCTTACAGGACCGTTAAGGGCACTCTTTGGAAAAGGCAGAGGTGGGTCTGAGTTTAGACCCTGTGGGACGGAAGCCAATGTGGTTGCTGCCAGTGTGTGGTCTATAGGAAAGAGGCCACGGAGGCCACAGAGCAGGTGGATGGGCCAGGTGCCAACTGGGGAACCCTGAGGGCAGGGTGCCAGATGAGCCAAGTGCTGCCATGTCATAGGCCTCAGGGACCCTGTCCTGGTTCTGTGTGGCAGCATCACAAGCCACCTCAGAATGCAGTGGCTGGAGCACGCTTTTATCCTCCCCTTCCAGATCCAGGGCTGGCTGGGCTCAGCTATTTCTTATACTTGTGAAGTTGATTTCTTAGAAAATAGGATGATCGGATCCAGGTCCCTTCTCAGAGGGCCTTACACAGGCTGCAGGCAGAGGACTGGGGCGTCTGGATGCCTGTGGGCCAACATTCAAGAAGGCTCCCTCCTGTGGCGCTGCCAACTAGAGCCCCTGTGCAGCCTCTTTGTGGCACTGAGGGCTCATGGTCCAGTGCAGGGGCCCCAGAGGCAGACACGCTGCAGGGCCTCTCACAGCCTTGCCTGGGAGTCCCACAGTGCTCACTTGCCCATTCTGCTGGTCCGTCCTGGACTCAAGGAGGGTCCAGGGCTCACCTCCCCACTGGGGAGGCCCTGGGCCCACTCAGAGCAGGGGAACCGATGCCCCATCTGAGGGGCACATGGCCTCCCCCAGCACCTAGGACACAGAGGTCCTCGTTTCACATGCTCTTCTGGGCCGTCCTTCCCTTTCCATGGGTCAGTTGAGCCAGGTCTGCAGCTCTGGCCCAACCTTCAAGTCTCACTTTATAAGGGACGGCAATGAGAAGGACTGGGAGGCTGCGTTCAGTAGATGGTGGACCACTCAGTCAGAGACCCCACTCGGCCAGACCCCCGTGGAGGGGCCTGGTCAGCAGAGTCAGCCCCAGGATGGCCACAGGGGTGGCGTGGCCTGACCTGAGGAAGCGTGAGCGCCAGGGCCTGGGGGGTCTGCACCAAGGCAGGCACCTCCCTGGTAGTAGGTACCCTCGACACCTGGGAGTCAGATGGGCCTGGGAGGGTGGCGGCCAGAGTGAACCCCTGAAACGAGGATGTCTTTCTTGGGAGGCTATTGGTGGAGATGTTTAGGGCTGTTCTTCCCTCTCTGTCTCTAATGATGGGCCACCCTCCAGGGCCTGGAAGCTGAGGTGTGCGGGTGTCTCCCCAGGGTGGCCCTACCTAAACAGGAAGTGTCGAGAGATGGTGCTTGGTGGCCAAGTCAGCACACAGTGGCTACTGAAGGGAAGCCGGGCTGGGCTGCTGCCTGGTCTAGGCCTGTGCTCTGGTCCTTACAGGTTGCCATGCCTGGCGGTAGCCAGTGTTTCTTTTCCCTTGACCATGTGGTCACATCAGACCCACCCTTGACGGACTGTGGCTCCCGCTTCTGTCTATGGGGTCTCAGGAGAGTCAGGACTGACGTGACCTGTCCTCTTAGGGTGCCAAGGAAGTCCAGTGTGTTCTAGACTGAACCTCCAAAGTCAGACTGGCCCAAATGGTGTATAGATCTCACCTCTGATTGCTTTATGAGGGGCTGGCCAAGTTATGTGAGGTTCAGTAACAATGACTTGTCGTGACTGCAGGAGGTTCTGTGCCATCCTGTGTGGTCAGGAACCAGGGCCATAGTTAACCCCACACCTGCCGCTCCTCACTATTCTCTGTGTGTCTGCCTATGCCCCGCCACCCCACGGTGCTGTCTCAGCAATGTAAGCTCTACCTACAGGAGAACTGCCATGTGTGGCCTTCAGGCATGGTTGTTCAGACTCGGAAGAGTGCTGAAAGGGGGCGGGATGCAGCAGAGCCTGACCTGGGGGGAGGATAACGACTCCAGCGTTGTGTGGAAGCCCAGCTGGATGAGTGTGGCCTCCTGGGGACTCAGGGGCACTGCACTCGGGGACCACAAAGAAGGGAGCCTGCCTCTCCTGCCCTGCAGTTATGGCTGTCCCAAGTGTGGAGAACACCCTATCAGCGCCTTCATCCTGCCTGCCATGTTGCTGTCCCATGCAGCTGCAGGATGCCCACCAGAGGCTGAGGCTGGCACAAGCCCAGCATGCCGAAGAAAGCCAGCGGCTGGTGCCCTGGGAGCGTGTGGCCGAACTGCAGCGCCTGCTCCATCTCCAGGGAGAGCAGGCAATGAGGCGCCTGGATGCACAGCGGGTAAGTGAGGACATGGCTACATCTGGGCTGTGGCCCTCAGGTACTCAGAAGCTGCCCAGATGTGAAGCCTAGGACCACCTCCAGCTACTCCAGCCGCTAGTGCAGAGGCTGCGGGACCTGACCTCGGAGGCCACGGGGCTACAGTGGGTGGGAAGATGAGCTGCTCCGAGGCCAGGCATTGGGGGCCACAGGCCTGAAAGGGAATGGGGCTGGTGGGGCCACACCCTGCTCAGGGGAAAGCTCCTACCCACAACTGCATGGAAAACGCAGAGGCGGGTCTGAGGTTAGACCTGGTGGGAGAGAAGCCAGTTCATTTACTTCTGAAATTCACTTCTGAAGTTCCCAGTGTAGTTCACAGTTCATGGGGGGAGGTCAGGCGCCTGCGGCAGGTGACACCTTCATGAGGAAGGGGTTGGAGTGGGGCTTAAAAAACAGGTAAACTAGCTGGGCTCGGTGGCTCAGCCTATAATCCCGTGCCTTGGGAGGCTGAGGTGAGTGGATCGCCTGAGCCCGTGGGTTCGAGACCCGCCTGGGCAACTTGGCGAGATCTCATCTCTACATCAAAAAAATCAGCTGGGCGTGGTAGCGCATGCCTGTAGTTCCAGCTACTTGGAAGGCTGTGGCGGAAGGATCGCCGGAGCCCAACAGGTCGAGGCTGCGGTGACCGGGAGCAGCCACTGCACTCCAGTCTGGGCGACAGAGTGAGACTCCAACTCAAAAAAACCCCAAAAAACAGGTAAACCCTGATGTTGATAAAGCATAGATCCTAAGGAAGGATACCCTTCCAACACGATGCACCCATGCTACCGTAAGTAAACAATGGCACACTGTGGACAAAAGCATCTCATCGGAATCCCTTTAGAAATACACACTGACACGTCTAGGGAAACTCACTTTGGAGTCACTTATGATTAAAACCTTGGGACTAGCTCTCCTGAGGACAAATCAGTCTGCAGACTTTCCCTGAACTGCAGAGAGAAGTGGTTGTGTTCTGTGCTGTGTGTGGTGCTAGGACATGGTTTAACTACTGCTCGGTACAGAGGAAGGTTGTTTGCAGCTACACTTAGATGTGCATGTTAGCTACTCTCCATTTTATTTTTATTTTCATTTATTTATTTATTTATTGAGTTGATGTCTCACTCTGTCACCCAGGCTGGAATGCTATGGCACACTCACAGCCACCCGTGTCGCCCTGCTGGGCTCAGGCGATCCTTCTGCCTCAGCCTTCCAAGTAGCCAGAACTACAGTTGTGCGCTACTATGCCTGGCTAATTTTTTCTTTTATTGTAGAGACGAGGTCTTGCCAAGTTGCCAGGCTGGTCTCAAACCCTCGGGCTCAGGCAGTCCACTCGCCTTGGCCTCCCAAAGTGCTGAGATTACAGGCTTAGCCACTGAGCCCAGCCTATTTTTTTTTTTTTGAGTCAGAGTCTCATTCAGGCTGGAGTGCAGTGGCATGCCCACAACCACTGCAGCCTTGACCTGCAGGACTCAGGCGATCCTTCCGCTTCAGCCTTCCAAGTAGCTGGAACTACAGGCATGTGCCACCACACCCGGCTAATTTTTTGATTTATCATAGAGACAAGGTCTCACCAAGTTGCCCAGGCTGGTTTCGAACCCCTAGACTCAGGCAGTGCTCTCGCCTTGGTCTCCCAAAGTACTGGGATTACAGGATTGAGCCACTGCACCCAGCCTTACTCTCCATTTTAAAGTAAACAGACCGCAAGGCAATGCTTTATAAAATGTAAAGTATTATTTGTAACCTTCCTTCATGACAGGAGGAGCACGAGAAGCAGCTGGAAGCCACAGTGACACGACTGGGAGAGGCAGAGACAGCCCTGCAGAGTGCAGAGACACTACTACAGGAGACCATGGATGAGCTGAAGGCACAGGTGAGTCGTGGCAACTGTTCCTATGAGTCATACAGCTGGGACGGGGAGAGGCTGTCTTGCGCAGAGCTTGAGAACCCAGGCTTATCTGGAACCACTGAATCTGGGACTGTTGTGAGAACATATATGTTTCCAGAAAATGAACACTTACAAGTAATCAGTAAATGACTGTACCAAAGTCATACCCTATACACTGTGGTTGTGCATTGCATTTATTTTCCTTTGGGAATGGTTTTCAGACGTTTTGGGGTGTTCATTTCCTCTCAGAATATCGTTCACTGGTTCTCCTGCATTCAGATGTCACTGAGCCTTCCTTCTGGACCTGACTTCTGGGGGTGGAGACACTTCCACTGAGCATGGGCAAGCTTGGGTCTCGACAAGCCTCAGGAGAGAGAATGGAGGTGCAGGGAGTTGGGGGAGGGGCGGCACCTGAGCCCACTCTGAAGAGCTGATGTTGGTGAGCAGCATGGGAAGGCCCAGCCATGTCCCTAGCAGAAGCGAGGTGGCATTTCAGGAGGCTCGCTGGGTGTGAGGTGTACATATCTCCATGTACTGGGGACTCTAAGGAGGGAGAGCATTCCAGGCAGAGCGAGAGCACAGGCTGGCGTCTTTGGATAGCCATTGAAGAGACCGTCATGACTGGGGTGGACGGGTAGGGGTACAGTGGACAGGGCCTATCATGGTGTCCTCCAGGCCGAGGTCAGGAGTTTGGGTTTTATCTTAATTGCAGATAGAAGTCAGTGAAAGATTTTAGGTAAGAGCATGATACAATTTGTGTTTTGAAAGATATCACACTGGGAAATAAGTCATTTGTGCTGCTTTAAGGAACAAAGACAAAGAAGGCCCCAGAGTGCCTCTGAGCTATAAGAGCTGACAGGCTAACCAAACGTGGGGCAGCACGCCCAGGGTAGTGACCGCAGGCCCTGCCGGCAGGACGGACCCAGCAGGAGAGGTCAATCCACCTGCCCTGTTCAGTTCTAGAAGAAAGTACGAGACGTGAGAATCTGGAGAAATGCTTATATTCCATAGTCTCCAGTGTGGTTTGTGGATCTGGGATCCCAAGCTGATCCCAAACCAGAGGAGACATTTGTGGAGGGTGGCCAGGCCCAACCTGGCCTGTGTAGGTGCCCTTCCCCGTCCTCCTCCCAGTGCCTCCAGCTTCTTCTCAGCTGCGCCTTTGCTGCTTGTTTCCCTGGAGGACCTGAATGAAGCACCCAGAGAACTTGCATGTGCCCCAAAAATACTAGCTGCCAGCCTGTGTCCTGGACACTCCCTCCAGGGGTTCCCTACTGCCCACCTGCTCCTCTTCAGAGAAATGTCCAGGAAAGAGCTGCCCTCCCTGCCCCTGATAAGCTCCGTCTACCACCTTGGGGTCAGGACTGACTCTTCTACCCCGGGCCACTCTAACCCATACCCACCTTCAGAATGGACGAAGGCCCCAGCCACTTCTCTCCATTCCATCTTCTGCCTGCCAGCTGTTCTCCTCATCTCCCTCCATCTCTCCTCAGCACAGGGTGATGGCAGTCCTTGTAAAACACAGCTAAGTCCTGTCCCTGCTCTGCTTAGAACCATCTAGTTTTCTCATATCCCTGAGTAAAAGACAGAATGTTTACAATGGCCTCCCAGGTCTTGCCTGATTTAGTCTCCTCCCTTTGGCGTCTGTCTCCCCATCTATGTCCTTCACCCATGGTGGCCTCCTGGATGCTCCTCAGGCACCCTGTGTGCCAGTCACAGGGCCTTTGCGCTTGCTGTCCTCTCTGCCTGGAATGTTCGTGCCCAGGCAGTGTCACGGCTTACTCCCTCACTGGATTCCGATCTCTGTTCACCCCAACCAGAATGGGACTTTAAAAAAAAACTGGGCTTTCTTGGTACTTGCACATGTTTTCCATCCACCTCCTTCTATGAGAATATGTGCTCCAGGAGAGCAAGGGCATTGCCAGAGCCGCGTGTACAGGGGGTAGGGCTCAATAGCTCCTCACTGAAGGACTCAGTGTGGGTTTATGCAGCCTGGTGCTGGGGCCCCCGTGCCTAGAGTGGCCTAGTGTTGCCATCACTGAAGTCTGTGTGGCCTGGCTGCAGTGTATGTTGTGACCAGCTCATGCCCTAGCTACAAGGGCAGACACAGGGTGTCCTGGATGATGTCATGACTAGTAGAAGACACCAAGATGAACCGGGTATTTTTTGTACTTTTGACAATTTTGTTGTTTTACGTTGCACTGAATTAGGGCATTTTGGGGGACTGCTGACTTTGATCTTAAGTCTTTATTTCATGGCAAAAACGATTCTCAAAGAGCTGCCTTAAGTTTTCTCCACCACAGTTTGGCAGATTCTCAACTTCCTGCCTCATGCCAGGGTACAAAACTGTCAATATATGCCAGTATTTGTGTGAGACCTGTATGGCTTAAGCAAACATGGAAGGACAAGGAAGAGGAGACTGGTCTGTTGTATTTCTGCCCCATTCCCAACCAAGTGTGGCTTCCTCCTCTAGCTTGAAAGGAACACAAAGTCTGACCTGCTGCTCAAGGAGCTGTACGTGGAGAACGCGCACCTGGTGAAGGCGCTTCAGGTTACTGAGGAGAAGCAGCGAGGGGCTGAGAAAAAAGGCCGTGTCTTGGAAGAAAAAGTTCGAGCTCTCAACAAACTTATCGGTAAGATTGCTCCTGCAGCCCTCTCTGTGTAAAGGTGCTTTTCCTGGAACTCGTTCTAAAGAATATCTTTCAGAATTAAGCCACTGTGATGTCATGATTTTCCATGGCTCGTCTACCGCGCCTCCTGGGACATATGAGGATTGTAATTCTCTGTTCACCTAAAACACTGAATGTACGTCTACTATGTGCCAGATGTGGGGGAAATGCAGGCCACAAAAGACTACATTTCTACTAGCAATACTAAGTAATTTCCTTCTGTAAAATCGCCAGTTTGCTACTCATTGGTGACACATTCTCGGGCTCTGAATTAGGAACAAAGTGAGTGGTTCAATACAGCACCCTCAGTGCTATGACCTTGGCTGTACAGATTAAAATGGAAAATAAGGATGGCACAGTTTAGCAAGTTCACTGTACTGTTTGGGCTGGGAGCACAAGGGCTCTCAGTGGAGGTTCTGAACACACTCCAGAAGGGCTTTGCTCACTGTGAGCTGTCACCCCAGCAAGAAAGGAGAGAAGCCCCTCTTCAGGGACTGCTCCCTCAGGGAATGTCTGGGAAGGGCTTAGCTTGGTCTGTGCTCTCAGGGAAGATGGTGTTTACTGCGAATGCACAATCTTTTTCTCACTGAAATGTCATCACACTGGAAACTGTACTATATGTTAAAAAAAAGTATAGTTTTATATCTGAAATATGTATAAGTTATGGCCATTTGGCTTATTGGCTGTACTACTATAATATGAAAAGATTCACTGTATTTGCAATAAATTCTTTTGTATTAAAAGTGACTTCTAAATGTTTTTAATTGTTTATATTTCAAAATATAGGAAAATGATTACGTAAGAAACAGCCATTTGCCCATCAATCAGATGTAGTAAAAATAACATTCTGCCACCATGCTGTAGACAGATCTGGGGCGCCTGCCTATTCTGTTGCTTCCAACCTCCTCCTCCTTCCTGGAGGTGGCCACCTTCCTGAAGATGGCATGCTTCCTCATCTGTAAGGGGAAAAATCTCTCAGCACTACGGAAAGATACAAAAGATCAGTTCAAGAGTTGGCAACATAAGGTTGACTGACTCTTCTAAATTTACTGATAAATGTAATTAGTCCCATTAAAAACACACATTCCCGCCTGTAATCCCGCGCCTTTGGGAGGCTGAGGTGAGTGGATTGCCTGAGCCCGCATGTTCGAGACCTGCCTGGGCAGCGAGACCTCATCTCTACAATAAATCAAAAAATCAGCTGGGCGTGGTAGCGCATGCCTGTAATTCCGG